CTTGTCTGTAGCTCTGTCCTGGGCCTTGTTGGGGGCAGGAAGGGGTTAGTGTTGGGGATGTTAGGGGCTTTCTGGATGTCAGCACCGTGAAGGTGACGGGCAGGACAAGAGGTGGACCCCAGGTGGCCTGTGTTCAGATCCCGGCTCTCTGATTTACTGGCTGTGCGACCGTGGGCAAGTGACGGAGCTCGCTGTGCCTCAGTGCCCACATCCACACAATGGGGGCAGTGGTCCTAGCTCCAGGGCAGTGTGCAGATTTACAGAAACCGCAGTGCCAGGTCTGCAGGGAGGGCGGAGTCAGTTTAGTTTACTGCTGTATCACAGGACCTGGGGCTGCAGGGGGCTCAGAGCCCACCAGTTTACACTCAGTTTACACCTAACTGTGCCCTGGGCTCCCTAATTCTCCTGGAAGGGAAGAGTCTCTGGAGGCCACTGGAGAGGACGTGGGAGCTTCCACCTGCCCGCTCGCCTCCTGCCCTGGGTCCTTTGCAGCCTGGCTGGACCTGGGCTGTGAGCCTGGGACGTGGTGACAGAGGTGTGAATGGTGGTGTCCCCTCCCTGGCCAGGCGGTCTTAGCCAGGACTGGCTGTGTGTGCAGGGCCCGCTCTCACCTCTGTGCTACGTGGGACCGTCCCCTTCACTCTGGCGCCACGGAGGAGCCACGAGTGCTTCCTGCACATAACGACCTGGGTCAGGAAGCCCGGCAGGGGCTTCGGGACTCTCGGCTGCAAGTGACAGAAGCTCAGACTGGCTTAAGCTGAAAGGGGCATTGATCGAAGTATCTTCCGGTTGCTCGAGCTTCAGGCACAGCTGGCTCCAGGGGCTTTAGGGGGCGTTGCTAGGCCTGTGTCCCTCTGGTTCTCTGTGTCGGCGTCACGTTCAGGCTGGCTCTCTCCCAGTGGCTCAGGTGTGTGCCAGCAGCCGCAGGCCGCTGACGAGAGAGACCGCTCTTTCCTCGCGTCAGCAGAAGTCCCAAAGGGGATTCTCACCGGGATGATTTCGGCTGCTGGGCTTGCGGGAGACCATGCTGAGTGGTCCTGTGGCCCCTGAACCAGGGGCCTGAGAGTGGGGACACTGCCCAGCAGAGCCAGGAAACACCCCCAAGTGGACCATGGTGGGGTCCCCCCCCGTAACATGGGGGAGGTCGTGAGGTGTGAGTGACAGTGAGAGACCCCTGCGAGTCCCCGCGTAAAGGGGCCTTGACTCACCCAGTGCACACCCCTGCTCCTGGTGGCTTCGGAGTTCAGACAGGACCGGTGGAGGGGGGTGGGGGAGTGACAGGGAGGCAGGGCTTGACCTGACCCGAGGGACAACTGACAGCCAGAGAAGGTGCCCAGTGACGAAGACTGCCCCGAGCGGTGATGAGCTCCCCGTCACTTGCAAGCTGAGGCAGCAGGGTCAGCGGGACGTGGCAAAGCGGTTCCTTCACCCAGGGCCTCAGCGGGGCCCTCCTGGCGGCCAGCCGAGTCAGTGACTGGCGGGACAACTTGTGATTGCGCAGGGGCCTGGAAACCTGCTCTGGCAGGGGTGCTCTGAGCCTGGCTCTGGGGGGGCTCCTGGAGGGGAGCTGGACTGTGCCCGTCGCCTGTGGCTTTCCGGCCATGTCTCCATGAGTGACAAGTGACGTCTTTCCTCCCAGGCCCAGCCGTGCCTCACGCTGCCTGGCGTGTTCCAGATCTGTCTGTTGTGTGCATCTTTTCTGCCTGCTGGGAAGCGGCCTCCTTAGACCCTCGAGAGGAGAGTTTGCCGGGCCTGGCTTCCCACAGCTGGTTCCTCTCTGTCCATGCCAGGCTCGGCCTGGCTTGTGTGCCTAGAAGGGCAGGTCAGTGTCGGGGGATGAAGGGTGGGACTGTGCGTGTGTGTGTGTGTGTGTGTGTGTGTGTGTGTGTGTGTGCGCGCGCGCGAGCACATGCCTGCACTCTCGCCTGCATGCGTAATGTCCTTGCCGCACACGGCTCGGGCTTGGAGGCTTTGCTGGCGGATGGAGCAGCTGCGGGGAGTTGTCCCAGCCCCTTGGTGTTTGGGGTTTCTTAGCCCGGCAATCTGGGGGCGCTGGTGTTTGGCACCAGGCCGTGGGGCAGGCAGTGCTGCCGTTTGTGTGCTGTGGCATCTGGGTCAGTGCCCTGGGATGTCTGGGGGAAGCCTGGGCTGGGGAGCCCTGGTGTGGGAGCTGGCAGACCTGACCTGGGTTTGAATCCCAGCCCTTCTGCCTACCGGCCCCAGCTGTGTGACCTTAGGCAGCCACTCTGCCTCTCTGGGCTCAGTTCTGAATCTGTAAGATGGTGATAGCGCCTTAGGTTACGAAGATGCGAGTGAGTGAGTGCGTAGACACTGGGTGTGACGGGAGTAGCTGCTGCTGTTACTACGAAGAGCTACTTAGGGGTGCCCCGAGAGTCCAGGAAGGGGTGGGGGGCAGGAACCTTGCGTTGTTTTGCAAACCCCACAGCGCGGGGTTGGGCACAGATGGTGGGTGCTCAGTAAATGCCTCTTGTGGAATGAGGACGAATTGGTTTAGATTGAAAGGTTGTAAAGTAGTGGGCTGCGTCACTTAAAATTTTAGAATGAGCTGCCAAGAGTTAAAAAATCATTATTTCATGTAGAAATCAGATTTGTAGCTGTCTAAGCCCTTTGGGTACTAGGCAGCCTTGGGCTCTACCCTCGAAGGGTTGCGCCTGCTTAGGCAGGTACCGAGGGCTGTGGACACCTGCCCGGGCACGGAAGGAGTCAGGATCGTGGCAAATGGCCCCTTGTTCCACCCCCAAATATGCGGTTTTCCCGTTTTGTTCCTGGGGTTTGTGGTTAGGGTACAGGGACTTCCGGGGAATTGGGGCCCCGGTTGGTTGTTGGATTCAGGTTTTGGCCCCGGGGGCCTCCCGGCAGCGGGTGGTGATTGGGGTCCTCCCCTGCACTCAGGGACTCTGGGTGTGCTGCTCTCCTGCCTTTGGGTTCTCCCGGTCACCTTCCCGCCTCTGGACCCCCTTTCCTTTGCAGCTTGCGCTGGCGGCTGGTCACTTGTGCTCTTTGTGACTGCCCTGAGCCTTCCCATGTCTCTCGGCCTCCTCGCCCTCTGCCTCCAGCCTTGTCCCTCGTCCAAGGCAGGCCTGGAGGACGTTGGGGGCCTAGACTCTTGGTCCAGGGCTGTTCCCTTAACACAAAGTTGCCGTTGGGAATATGGCAGCTGTCCCCAAGCCCTGACTGCTGTGTGCATGGGTTGCACATCTGTTAACTTTCTCCCTTTGGAGACAGACGGGGAGCCCTGTGGGGGGAGAGCGCCAGCCTGGCACTCAGGTGTCGCGGCTGGCAGGCCACGGGTGCGATTAACAAGCCGTTTTTCAATAAATGAATGTGCTAACGAGTGAATGGTGTTGGGGGAAGAGGGAGCCCGTCTGGGCTGAGCGTTGCAATCCTGGGGTCTTCTCCCAACTTTGTCACGAAGGGCCCACTGTGTGCCCTCTCTGAGACCCGGCTTCCTTTCGTGTGGAGTGGGGCTTGCAAACTTCTTAAATCCATTTTGGAGAAAATGCGGTCTCGTGCGGAAGCTTAATGTGACGCAGACATGGGGGGTGCCCTGGCTGGAGTGCTCGTGGGGGCCTGAGCCTGTGTCCGTCCACCTCCCCATCCCACCTGGGCCCCAAGACATGTCCCCAGATCCCAGGGCTCCCAGGATCGCAGTTTGGAACCCTCTGGACCCGGAGGCACAAGACTTACTGGAAAGCCCCAGGAATCCAGGGAACACGGTGTTTGCAGCGGGCCCGTGGGAACAGAACAGAACCAGGAGGCAGACGCCACGTGCGTGCTCACCCGATTTACGGCAGAGGCGGCTCCACTGAAGCTCAGAGAGGAAAGGGTGGTGGGTTCACTGAACGCTGCTGGGTAATTAGATGTCCACTTGGAGAACGGAAACGAGCCTCGATCCCTGCCTCACACCGCGCACAGAATGAAATGAGACAGATCAAAGACCTGTGCGTGGAAGTCAAACAGTGAAACTCCCAGAGCAGTGCTGTCCCCGGAAGTTTCTGTGAGGATCCAAGTGCTCTGTATCCGGGTTACCCAGCACGGTGGCTGCCAGCCGCGTGTGGCCCCTGAGCACTCAAAATGTGACTGTTGTGACCGAGGGACTAAATTTTGTTTTTATTTATTTATTTATGTATGTATGTATGTATGTATGTATTTATGTATTTATGTATTTATTTATTTATTTAAGACAGAGTCTCACTCCTTTTGCCCGGGCTAGAGTGAGTGCCGTGGCGTCAGCCTAGCTCATAGCAACCTCAAACTCCTGGGCTCAAGCGATCCTCCTGCCTCAGCCTCCCGAGTAGCTGGGACTACAGGCATGCGCCACCATGCCCGGCTAATTTTTTTTGTATATATTTTTAGTTGGCCGATTAATGTCTTTCTAATTTTAGTAGAGGCGGGGTCTCACTCTTGCTCAGGCTGGTCTCGAACTCCTGAGCTCAAACAATCCGCCCACCTCGGCCTCCCAGAGAGCTAGGGTTACAGGCGTGAGCCACCACGCCCGGCCTAAATTTTGTTTTAAATGAATTTAAAATAATTTACTTAAATTGGCCACCTGTGGCTAGTGGCTACTGTATTGCACAGTGCCGTTCTAGAACACACAGAGGGCTCGCTTTACGACCTGGGGGTGGGCAAAGCTTTAAACAGGACACAAAAGTTAGGCTGGGGTTAAGACCGACAGGTCAGACACAGGTGCCGCGAGGTGGGGGCTGCTCGGCCCCGGGGCCAGCCCTTCCCTGACTTGGCCCGTTTAGTCCAGGTCTGGGTCTGCTTTGTCTCTGCAGAGCGGAGGACCCGGCGTGCGGGAAGGTGCCTGTGGCTCGGCGAGCGAGGCCTGCCCGCCGGGGCTGCGCAGACCCCGCGTCGCCCATGGAGCTGCGGGCGCCGGGGGCCTCTCCCCAGCCGGAGGCCTAGGCCCTCGGGGAGCTGCAGCAGATAGATGCCCCCGGCCTGGGGTCTCCTGAGTGGCCTGGGCGAGTGCGCCAAGGGTGGAGGATGCCGGCCAAGGGGCGCTACTTCCTTAACGAGGGCGAGGAGGTTCCGGACCAAGACGCGCTCTACGAGAAGTACCGGCTCACCAGCCAGCACGGGCCTCTGCTGCTCACGCTCCTGTTGGTGGCGCTCTCGGCCTGCGTGGCCCTCATCGTCATCGCCTTCAGCCACGGGGTGAGTGCGGGCAGCCCCGGGCTTCGCAGCTCCGCCCTGACACTTCGTACCTGTGAGACCTCGGCAGGGCGTTGTCGCCTAAGCCTCGCCTTGCTGCTCTGCGAGACGCCGCGGAGCACATTTAGGCTGGCGGAAGGCAGGTTTCTTATTTGTATTTAATTTTGAAGTCCGGGGTGGTTTTAGATATGATGTTAACTTGGCCAAATAGATTACCCTCATTTTTCTCCACGATGGAACTTGGTTCTACTGAAGACCTGAGTCAGGGTGGCCTGTGTGTCTCTGCCCTCACGTCCCGTGCCGTGGCAGACATCACTAGTCAATCCCCCACTCCCCGCCGAGCCTGGCTGTGGACTCAGCATCCTTCTTAACACGGCTCCCCAGGCAGATACCACTCGCATTGTCTCTGACCTTGTGAACCTCTGCTCAGTCATTAGGAGTCAGGAGCAGCGTCCTCCTCTCCGGGTGGCCTTCCGAGGCTTGGCCTGTGAATAAGCCCCACCCTGTGCTCCTGTCCTCATGCCTGTCACCTGCAGCAGTGCACAGCCAGCTCTGCCTCGCGGGGGTGGGTGGAGGCGGTGGCATTGCAAGGCTGGGCTGTGGAGGACGCCCGGGCTCCTGCGGTGACTGGAGAGGGGTGGTTATAGCAGAGACGGCAGCACAAAGCAAGGCCTGCCTGAGGGTGAGAAGGAGCCAGGTGTTCGGGGGAGCACTGGCATCCCCCACGAGGAGGATGTCAGAGGCGAGGAGGGTCAGGGCAGCGGGGCAGCCGACCCGGGCAGGCTTTCTGGAGGCGGCGGCGTCCCGCTGGGGAAAGCTGCAGCATTTCTGTGTCTGTCTGCCCCCCAGGACCCCTCCGGACAGCGGGCTGTGCTGGGCACGGCGTTCTTCATGCTCGCCGTGTTCGTGGCCCTCTACGTGCTGGTGTACGTCGAGTGGCTGCTCCGGCGGTGGCTCAGCGCCTGGGCGCTGCTCGCCTGGGCCTGCCTGCTGACGCTGGGCTACGTGCTGGTGTTCGACGCGTGGATGAAGGAGGCCTGTGCGTGGGACCAGGTAACGGGGTGGGGGACTCTGGCGCCGGGGGTGAAGTGCCACCAGCCGGCGTGCACTCAGCAGCTGCTGCCCTTGGGGGGCCTGCATTTGGTGTGCTGCCATGGGCCCTTCCTGCGCCCCGCACGCCACGGCTCTGTCTTAGGATGGGCCCTGGGCTGCTTGTGTCCCTTAAATTCTCTGGACTGATGGGGCTGAGGTGGGGAGAGTGTCCACGTGGATGTCTGGCTGTGGCACTTTGGGGCGGACCCTTGTTTGGTTGGAGATGACACAACTCCAGCTCGGAGAGGCACAAAGGCGCGAATGGGCTCCTGTGCCAGGAGCGGAGAGGGGTCGGGCCTGGCTCCAGCGGGATGAGCAGACCCTGGCTGCTCCCGACGCCGCCTTCCCCGCTGCTGTGTTCCGGGCGCGCCGCCCCCAGGCCGGGCGGAGCAGGCTGCGGCTGCTCACTCCGCAACTCGGCCAACCGGCTGAGAGAGCCCTTCCTCAGCCCCAGGCTTGAGCCACGCTGGCCTGGCCGGGTCACTAGGCCCAGCCCTGGGTGGCCACTGTCACCAAGTACGGTGGCCTGGGTCCTACGCCTGCTCCTGTGGCTAGGGTGGGGGGGTGAGGCCCACAGAAGCTACAGAGAGCAGGGTGGCCGTGCTCCGCGGGGCGAGTGGCAGGTGGCTCTGAGAGCGGGCCGGGCGGGGCTGCACTGTCGCAGGCAGCAGGCGAGCAGGCCCTGCCCAGCCTCCCAGTAATGGCCGTTCCTGCAGAGGGAGAGCCACGGGGCAGAGGGTGCCAGGTGGGGGCCCCCTGGGTCGCGGTGGGCATGGAGTCTCTCTCCTGGGGAGGCTCAGCCTTGGCCGCCCAGAAACACATCTTGACTTTCCTTTGGCCCCTCGCGTGTCTGTAGCTGGGCCTCGCGTGCAGGGGCGAGGGGAGGGCCGACCTCCGGGCAGAGGGTCCTGGGCGGGCTGGTTTGGGAGCTGGAAGGCTTAGGATTGGGGTTTCTGGGCCGCCCCAGAAGACGGGAGGCTGTGGGGCCCCCGCCATCCGCTCGCCCCAGCCCGTGCGCTGTCCCCAGGTGCCCTTCTTCCTGTTCATCGTCTTCGTGGTATACACGCTGCTGCCCTTCGGCACGCGGGGCGCCGTCGCCGTGGGGGCCGTCTCCACCGCCTCCCACCTCCTGGTGCTCGCTGCCCTGACGGGGGCCTTCACGGCGCCCAGCGTCCAGGCGGGCCTGCAGGTGAGGGGCGGGGTGGGGCTGGAGTGGGGACGGGCCGAGGCCTCTGGGGAGGCCCGTGTGGGTGACTCGGCCCGCAGGCCTGGAGCCGCGTGGGCAGCCAGCCTCCAGGCTGGGCTCCCTGGAGCTGGGCTCCCTGGCTTTGCCCTGCGGCCGTCCAGGCCCCGCCCCCCGGGCAGGTGCCCTGTCGGGGTGGGTCCCGCTGCCAGGCTCCTCTTCCTCCTCGGAGCCCCGTCCCGACAGGGCTGGGAGTATTCCAGGACGTGTGTCTTGTGACTTTGTGTTGAGTGAACCTTTTATTCATAATTAGCGGGGACTTGAAGATGTGTTTTCTTCCACGCTGGGTCTGGGTGTCCTTTCTAGGGCGGAGGCTGGAGCTCTGGGCAGCCGGCGGGGCACTGTGGCTCCCGTGACTGCTCTTAGCACTGCCCTCGGGCCCTGGGCCCTAGGGGGTGGCTGCCTCTGCCTCCCTGCTTCCCGTTGCCCGGGCCCTACTGGGCAGGGCAAGTGCCCCATGGATGCGGAGAGGGGCTCGAGTCCTGATCCTGTAGTCCTGGTGACTCAGGAGGAGACCAGCCCCTGTCTGGGCCTCAGTTTCCTTGCCTGTCTTAGGGGGAGTGCCAGCCGGAGCAGTCTGAGGGTTGGGGAATGGGGAGGGTGCCATACCAGTCTGCCTAGGGGGCTGGTCCCAGGGGGCATGGGCCAGGCCGAAAGCCGAGCCCCGCTCTTGGCTGACCTGCAGCTGCTGGCCAACGCTGTCATCCTCCTGTGCGGGAACCTCACGGGCGCTTTCCACAAGCACCAGATGCAGGACGCCTCCCGGGACCTCTTCACCTACACCGTGAAGTGCATCCAGATCCGCAGGAAGCTGCGCATCGAGAAGCGCCAGCAGGTGGGACCCCGCCTCCAGCCAGAGCCACAGCCTGGCCCCTGCCTGGTCCTCCCTGGCCCATCCGTCCAGGCCCCGCAGCCCTCACCCTGCACCCCCCACGCCCTTCCTCTCGCTGTTGGACACGAGACACTTGGCGAGCGGCTGTGTGCGTGAAGTGCACGGCTGGATGCCCACGCGGGGCTCGCCCCAGGGTCGGGTGGGGTGATCAGCACCTCTACTCCTGACTCTGCCTTCCTCCGTGTGGTTTCATTCCCGGGCACGCTGTCCCTGGCTGGGGCAGAGAAGGCTGCGGCAGCCCCAGGTTGCCCAACCATCAGCTCGGCCACCAGCTGAAAGAGAGGGGACTTTCTCGCCCAGCCTGAGTCCCAGGGGGCTGCTGGGGACGTGGGGGATGGGTGCCCAGCAGGGTTGGTAGCAGGACGTGAGCGCATGGGTGGGCAGGAGGGACAGGGGCCGGGGAGGCCAGGCCTGTGGCCTGATGCCACCCCACCTGCCCCCTCCGGTCTCCCTGGTTTGCTTCCCTGCGCCCAGGAGAACCTGCTGCTCTCCGTGCTGCCGGCCCACATCTCCATGGGCATGAAGCTGGCCATCATCGAGCGGCTCAAGGAGCATGGGGACCGCCGCTACCTGCCCGACAACAACTTCCACAGCCTCTACGTCAAGCGGCACCAGAACGTCAGGTGGGCAGTGGCCTGTGGGCCGTGCCTGCGCGACCGTGTCTCCCGGGGGCGCGGCCCACCACTCCCCCGGCCCCAGCAGGCGGCCTCCCCGCTCTGTCAGACCCCAGACCACACAGGGACTGGGGAGAGGGGGCCCCTCTGGCCCTAGGTCAATCCAGGCCCCTCCCTGGGCCTCAGTCTCCCCATTTGTTTTCTCAGTGTTAGGATTAGATTAGGGTCTTAAGTTAGAGAACTGAGATTGGTGTTGGGGAAGGTCCAGTAGCCTCCAGAATTGTAAAAGTCTGTGAGCAAACATGATTGTTGGGAAGGAAGGGGTCCTTCCGGATGGTTCTCAGAGGGGCGCAGGACCTCCAAAAGGAGGTGAAGCCCTCTATGGCTCCGTGACGAGGAGCCCTCTGGTTCTGACACTGTCCTTGGCTGATTCAAAGGGGCTGGCTGCTTGAATTCACTGACCTAAGTATAGATGTGGTACTATGAACAGTTCCGTGTACATGTGGGTACTATGAGGTGTTAAGTGTAGATGTGGGCACTGTGAGCTGTTAGTGTAGATGTGGGCACTGTGAACTGTTAAGTGTAGATGTGGGTACTCTGAACCGTTGTTAGGTGTAGATGCGGGCACTGTGAGCTGTTAAGTGTAGATGTGGGTACTGTGAAGTGTTGCTAGGTGTAGATGTGGGCACTGTGAACTGTTAAATGTAGATGTGGGTACTGTGAACTGTTGCTAGGTGTAGATGTGGGCACTGTGAGCTGTTAAGTGTAGATGTGGGTACTGTGAAGTGTTGCTAGGTGTATATGTGGGCACTGTGAGCTGTTAAGTGTAGATGTGGGCACTGAACTGTCGTTAGGTGTAGATGCGGGCACTGTGAGCTGTTAAGTGTAGATGTGGGTACTGTGAAGTGTTGCTAGGTGTAGATGTGGGTACTGTGAGCTGTTAAGTGTAGATGTGGGTACTGTGAACTACTCCTGGGTCCTCTACCGGAAGAATCAGCATTATGTTTGAGGCTGGCCCATGGCTTTTTGGCTGGGCTGTGGATGGCCCATGAGCTCACAGACTTTGGAGCAGAGAGATGTGGTGTAAATTAAAGTTCTTGGCCTCCCAGCAAGTCTCAACCTCGCTGAACCTCAGTTTGCTCATCTGTAGAAGAGGAGTCCTGCGGGGGTTGTGTGAGGGCGCGATGTAAAGGCCTGGGCATGGAGGTTGGCTTGAGAGAGCGGGGAGTCACATCTCACCAGGGAGTTTGGTCCCGCAGTCCGTGCTTAAGGAGAACCTCCGGCTGCTGGAGAGGAGTCTGAGCTGCCTGTGAGAGCACCGTGCAGTCGTCTGTGGCGTTGGGGGTCTGAGGGCTCCTGCAGACTCTGGGGTCTGCTCCGTTTGCTTCGTTATGAAGCTCCGGAACTTTAATTTGTCTGTATGGCTGGGCGTGTCTCTCCTGTGCCTGCAGAGGCTGAGAGAGAGCAAAGGGGGTTGGGCTGCAGCCCAGCGGGCTCCCGGGGGCTCTGCATGGTCGCCGTGCTCCTGCTGCCCATCTTCGGGGACCTGGCTCTGACGCTCCCTCCGGCCCTGCTCCACTGCAGCATCCTCTACGCGGACATCGTGGGCTTTACGCGGCTGGCCAGCGACTGCTCCCCCAAGGAGTTGGTGGTGGTGCTGAACGAGCTCTTCGGCAAGTTCGACCAGATTGCCAAGGTGAGCCGGACGGGCTGTACGCGGGTAAAGCCAGGCGACGCCCCCTGCATCCGCCGGGCTTGGGATGGGGAGGCCGTGGCTGAGTTTTGGCATCCAGCCCGCAGATGCTTCCGAGCACCCCGTGGTAGAGGCGGGGGTTGAGTGGTGGCCAAGGCAGCCAGAATCCTGTCCCCCCGGGCTGTGAGGCTGGCAGGGGGACTGACACGCTGGAGGAGCACGGAGGGCGGGGGAGGGCTGCCTGGAGGAGGAGATGGCTTCACCCTCCCGTGCAAGCGCGGCAGCCTGGGACTCGCCTGGGAGCTTGGGAGGACTGTGGGAGATCCCGGCCCTACCAGGTGAGTCATGAGCACGTTTGCAGTTTAAGAGACCCAAAAAGAGAGCTGACGGGGAGAGGGAACGGTTCTGGGCGGAGGGAGCAGCATATGCGAAAGCGCCGTGTGCCTGCGGGATGGACGTGGCCCGGTGTGCGTGGAACAGTGTGAGGGGCACAAGGTCACGAGGTTCCGGGACGTGAGGACTGGGACTTGTCCTGAGGATGCCGGGGACCGTGGCAGGTGCCAAGCAGGGAGGGGCATAGGGCAAGGAGGGTTTCGTTAGTGGCTCACTCGGCCCTGAGACCCGCTGAGTGCCAGGCCCTGAGCTGTGCAGGGCCTCGGGGCTGCCCTCGGCGTGCCCCCGGCCTACGCGTCTGTGCTTTGCAGAGAGGAGTGAGGGGCCTGGGGAGCACCTGGCCCAGCCCCAGGTGGTCAGAGCAGGCTCCCTGGAAGTGCTGGCTGCTCAGTAGAGACCGAAGTGTAAGGTTTAAGGTAGTGGCTCCTTCTCAGCCGTGCGTTTGAGTCACGTCAAATGCTTAAATACCAACACCATTGCCCGCGCCCATCTGGGTTTTTAAGAGCCCTCCGAGGTGACTCTGTGTTCAGAGGATAAATGGTCTAGAACTTTATGGGAGACAAGTTCTGGCCCCACACTGGGAAGAATTTTTCATGATCAGAGCTGCTCAATCCTGGGAGGGACTAGGGGTGAGCTCCCCGTCACAGGGGTAACCAAACTGCTGTAGGACACCACTGGCCAGGGGTGCTCTAGATAGCTGTCCCATCCTGGGTTCTGTGGACTGAGTGGCTCGGAGGGCCTGCCTCCAGGAGCAGGGGCTGTGTGACTCCCACACTAGCCGCCGGGAGTCCCGAGAGGGTGGGCCATATGTGAGGCAGGGGACCTGAGTCTCAGGCGGTAGCTGGCCCTTTCCCTACCATGAAGGCCAAGGATTGTCCTTTGTCCACCTGAACGTGGCCTTCCCGGCCCAGCAGGCCTGGGAGGCGTGGCCCCATGGTGCAGGTGGGGAAAGGGAGGCCGTGGCAGGGCCAGCTTCCCAGGCAGCGAGTCCGGTCCCCAGACAGGGCTGGTGGCAGCCTTTTCCCTATCAGCGACCAGGTTCCAGAACTGTAGCCTCTTTCAGAGGTATCTGTGTTGCCTCTGGGCTCGGGGAGCTCCTCCCTCCCTCTCTGACACTCAGGAACCTGTCAGCTGTTGGAGGAGCAGCCTGGAGCCTGTCACCTTCCACAGATCCCTGCGGGCTGGGGCTGGGCACGGGAGGGGACCGGCACGGGGTGGGCTCTAGACCTGCAGACAGACGGTGTTCCAGGGGCAGGCCTGGCCCCAGAGACCTTGCAGGAGGGAACCCCCTTGGCTCCCTCCCCACCAGGAGCGAGGGCGAGGCCACCTGTCAGTCCGAGGGGGTCAGCTGCAGGGGGTGGCGGGCGGGGCCCGAAGGCAGGTGTCTGCGCACGGCCCCTCAGATTCCCTCGTGTGCAGCCGCCCTTGCCGAGGACATGGAGGGTGCAGTGGCTGCTGCACCCCTGCAGGTGGAACCTCAGGCGGCCCTCCTGGGTGTTTTCCTCTGAGACCCCAGCCCACCCTTCTCTGGCTACCCCCCCCCACTTTCAAGCCCCAGTAGCTGGGCATCTCTTGGGTCACCTTGACACCTGCCAACCCCTTGGCTTATGGCACCTGCTACCTCTGTCCTGTCTCCCCTGCCCACTCTACTTCAGCCACCCTGGCTGCCTTGCTGTGCCTCAGACAGCCCCATGGCCTCAGGGCCTTGGCACGTGCCTGGAGTGCCCTTCTGCCACGTGCTGGCCGCTGGCAGTCTCAGCCCCTTGGGGTCTGTGCTCGAAGGCTCCTTCTCTGGCCTCCTGGGAGCATCTCTCCTGTCCCGGGCCTCACGTTTCTCCTTAGCACTGATCGCTGGTGGCCACGCCATAGGTTTCATTTGCCTGGTTTGGCGTCCGACCCTCCCACCAGCATCTGAGCTCCATTTTGTTCACTGCTCTGTCCCGTTGCCCGGCCCAGGGCTGGGTGTGCAGTAGGCACTCAAACATTACATGGACAAATGAAACAAAGGCAGCCCCTCCCCGAGACGAACACTTGCTTTCACCCCATGCTTGGCTTGGGGTCCCTCCTGGAGAGGCCGCGTGTCCCCAGTTCTTTTGCCAGGCCCCGGGGCTGCTCCCGGTGGCTGGCAGGAGGCAGCCCGGGCTGGGAGAGAGCCGGGCTCACGCTGGCGGGGGGAGGTGGCCGGCGAGTGTGGCCCCGGCCCCGGCCCTTCGCCGACGGGCCCCTCCCTGCCCTGCAGGCGCACGAGTGCATGCGGATCAAGATCCTGGGCGACTGCTACTACTGCGTGTCCGGCCTGCCCGTGTCGCTGCCCACGCACGCCCGGAACTGCGTGAAGATGGGGCTGGACATGTGCGAGGCCATTAAGTAGGTGCAGGGCAGGCCGGGTGCTGGGGACCCTCCTCCTTCCCAGGGTGGAGGGGACGTGTGGTCCCGTCGCACAGATGCGGGCACTGAGGCTCAGCGGTGAGGGTGGCTTGCCTGGACCGCGCAGCGTGCGGGGGATCCGAGCCCAGGCTGTCTGTGGCTCCGCGTCCTGGAGAGCGTCTCGGAAGCTCAGAGCGGGGCACAAACGTTTAGGTCACGTATATGGCCTTTGCCCCACCCGAGTCAGAGCTTCCGGCGTGTCCATCCCCCAGACGGCGCGCACCGCGCCCGACCCCAGAAGCCTTTGAAACCCAGCCAGGGCCGCTGGGCGGGGAGAGCCCGGTGATGGCACTTTAGGCCATCCACACGAGCCACAGCGACCCCACAGCCTCCCCCACGCCACGCCCTGCACTCGGACCTCCAGCCTCTCCCAGGGTTTGGGGTGCCCCCAGCAGCCCTGACCGGGGTCGGGTGACCCGGCCGCTCTGCCCAGGCAGGTGCGGGAGGCGACGGGTGTGGACATCAACATGCGCGTGGGCATACACTCGGGGAACGTGCTGTGCGGTGTCATCGGGCTGCGCAAGTGGCAGTATGACGTGTGGTCCCACGATGTGTCCCTGGCCAACAGGATGGAGGCGGCCGGAGTCCCTGGGTGAGGCTCGGAGGCCGGGCAGGGCAGCAGGGGGTCAGAGGCCAGGGCAGACCTGGGTGTCTGGGTGGGGTCAGGTGTGGAGGAAGGGGACACATTCAGTGACCTCACAGGGGGGGTGTCTGGCCCTGCCTGGGCTGCCTGCTGTGCGTCCCCAGGTGGATGCTAGCCCTCTCTGGGCCTGCCGCTCTGCCTGACTTGGGTGTCCCCCAGCCGGGTGCACATCACAGAGGCGACGCTGAACCACCTGGACAAGGCGTACGAGGTGGAGGACGGGCACGGGCAGGAGCGCGACCCCTACCTGAAGGAGATGAACATCCGCACCTACCTGGTCATCGACCCCCGGGTACGAGGGCTTGGATGCAGCAAGCTGGGGGGGCTGGGGGGCTGGGCCGTCCTTGGGAACACGGGAGACTCCCTCGCCCAGTGCAGGGAGAGAGTTTTCTTCTCCAGGCTGTGGGAGGTGGGGAGGGGGCCTGCCTGGGGCAGGAGAGAGCTCCCCGTCGCTGGGTGTATTCTAGGCACCAAGGAGCAATTTCCCTGGGCCTCAGCATGCTTTTCTGTGTGATGGGAATGACTAGGGTGCCTGCCTCGGGGAAGGAGCTCACCAGGGTGAGGCCCTCGGCGTACCCGGCACGTCGTGAGCACTCGATGAATAATAGTCGCTGTTAGTTTAGTTTCCGTGAGGTTGTTACTCATCCCCCCATGTCCAAAAGACACACTTTCGAAACGTGCTTTGGACAAGACTCAAGGCAGGGAATGGCCAGGGAGCCGCCGGGCAGGGACCTCTGTGTCCCGGGCTCTGACCTGCGCGTCCACCTGGCCGGCTGCAGGACCCCAGCGGGGGCGGGGCTGCTCCGCTGCTCCCAGCGAGTGGGGTGCCGAGGGTGCCCCCACCCGCCTGTCTGCTGCCCGCCCCAGCCCGCGTGTGGGGTCCGGCTTGTCTGGCCGCCGCTCCGTCAATCATCCCCGGGGCTTGCTCCAGCGAGGTCCCTGTCGCTCTGCCTGGCGGTGCCTCGGGGCTGGCGCGACTGCCAGGCCCGGGCCGAGGAGGCCCAGCCTGTGAGGCGCCCTGCACGCTGCTGGCCCGGTTCTGGCCCGCCCGTGTCCCCGACGGGCTGCATCCGGCCGACGCTCCCCGGGCCCCGCGGCGCGGTGCGCATCCGTGCTGAGTTAGCGGCGGGAAAGGTCCGTCTGGTACCGCGGTCCTGCCGCTCCCCACGCCCCGAATACGGCCCGGCCCGGCCCGGCCCACAGCCCCTTCCCGAGCTGTCCCGGCCTCACCCACCCGGCCTCGCCCGCCGCTCAACTGCCCCGCCCTTGGCCGCCTGGTCCCTCCGCCTGCCGGGCGTCCACCCTGCTTCCTCGTTCGTTGTCGGCGTGAGGTCCGAGGGCTCGGGTCCCCTCTCCGGGCTGTGCCCTGCCCGATGGCGCTGGCGAGGGCAGGCGCGCTGGAGCGCGTGGAGCAGCGCCCTCCCCGGGAGGTGGCGGCGGCCCCAGCCAGGCCCCGCGCGGCTGCGCTGAGCGAGTGGGACCGGGGCCGGCGGGCTCGCGGCTCAGACACGCCGCGGATGGTGTCTCCGCGCGGCATTTCACCGGCGGCCCGCGTTTTATCCGGCAGTTCTGCCTTTTTGACTTTATTCCTTCACGCCGTTGAAGATTCAAAAGGCAGGAAGGGCACGGTGCAGAAAGTTCCCTCGCAGCCTGTCGCAGCCAGCACGTCCCCCTGAAGGGGCTGGAGTCTCCTCCAAGAGATCTCACGCACGCCTGGAGTCTCCTCCAAGAGATCTCACGCACGCCAGGGGGGCTGGGGTCTCTTCCAAGAGATCTCACGCACGCCGCGTGAACTGGAGGCGCCTCCCCCTCCCTGCCAAGGCGGGGGTCCCTCGCCCAGCTTGCTCCCTACTGGCCCCGGGCTGCTCCTGTCTGTGCACACGGTGCCCCCTTGTATGGGTTCACGTGTGGCACCTGTTGGGCGACCTCTGTGGTCCCCAGTGCTGGCCTCCGCGGTCTCTGTGCGTGAGGACGTGCAGGGAAGCGGCCCAGCAGTGGCCCCGTGGGGCCAGAGCGGGCGCCTGTGGGCTGGGTGGAGGTTGCAGTTCCTGCTCTGGGCTCCCGCTGATCCCCACGCACGCCCATTCTGAACAGGTGTGTGTTTACTCAGAAATGATGGATCTTTTTAATTAAAAAAATTTTTTTTTAGAGATGAGGTCTTGCTGTGTTGCCCAAGCTGGTCTCGAACTCCTGGGCTCCAGTGATCCTCCCGCCTCAGCCTCCCAGAGTGCTGGGTCACAGGCGTGAGGATCTTTAGTGCGTGCTTACGGTTATTTTTATTTCTCAGGGAGCTGGGGTGTCTGGCTTCCCTGTCCCGAGAGAAGTGATGGCGGCCGTGAACTTGAGCGGCTGGGTGCTGTGCAGGCAGGGTTGCTGCCCACGGAGGAGCAGACAGAGAAACGTACCCCTGCCCGCCCCCAAGATTGCTCCCTTTAGGGCCGGCACATTCCTCCTGCCCTGGGACGCTCACCACCTGCCGAATTCCCTGTGGACAGACTGAGCGGACAGGCGCAGCTAAAGTCTTAAAAATGTTCCTATCCCACAAGGAGGCTGGAGGTTTCCAGGAAAGCTGCTGTTGTGGGTTAGCGAGTGATCGCAGGAGACGGGGCTCCTGGGGGGCAGGAGAACGTTTAGGGAGCTGAGGGGACACTCAGCCGACCCCGGGATGGCACAAGCTTGTCTTCCTCTTCCCTCCCCTCTCCTGTCCTGCCTGGCCACCCCGACTAGGGAAGCCGCAGGCGTGCTGTTCTTGCGGGGTCTTGGGCTCGGTGGCTCCGCATTCTGGGCTGGCTAAGCCACCGAGTCCCTGGCATGGCGCTGGGCTGTGTATGCATGTGGCAGGTGACGGACCCGTGCCGTCGTGGTTGGGGGCCACTGAAGCGCACGCCCCCAGTGCTGCCTGGGGTGGGGCCGGAACTCCTCTTCCCCCCGCTGCCCCCCACGTGCAGGAGGAACATGTGCTGGCCACGTGGGGGTGGGGTGTCTGTGGCTTCTCTGGCTGCAGTCTCCCCAGGGTGCCTCCACGGGGAGGGGCTAAAGGGAGTTCAGGCCCCAAGGACTGTCTGGTTCCAGGGAGCCTCACGGGGCCCTGGGGCCTTAGGCTTAGGACCTTGGTGCCGCATCTCTCCCTGGGGAGGCGGAGGGGAGTCGGGCTGCGCGTGGTGGCGTGTGGCTGCCAGCCTCCGCTCGGCCTGGGGCGGGGCGGGGCGGGAGCTGGGCCCCCTGCAGCCCGGCGTGGGTGCCTCAGGCTCCAGCCGGCCCCAGGAGCAGCTGCACCCCAAGGGACTGCAGGCTGGGACGCCTTTTTGCCAGTTTTCTGTTCCCAGGATCTGCCAGTGCTCTGGGGAGAGCTGGGTGGGGGTGGCGTCCCTTCAGGGGCTGAGAGGGGAGGGTGGCACAGGCCCGTGTCTGCTGTGCCCGCAGAGCCAGCAGCCGCCCCCGCCCAGCCAGCACCTGCCCAGGCCCAAGGCGGATGCCGCGGCCCTGAAGATGCGGGCGTCGGTGCGCGTGACCCGCTATCTCGAGTCCTGGGGGGCGGCGCGTCCCTTTGCGCACCTCAGCCACCGCGCGAGCGTGAGCAGCAGCGAGACCCCTGTCCCCAATGGGCAGCAGACCAAGGTAGGTCCCCTCCCACCCAGAGAGCTGGGGATCAGGGCCCTGGGCCGGGGCAGGAGAGCGGATGCTGCAGCCTCGCTGTCCTCATCCCTGGGATGGTTGTGTCTCTGACCGGCCTCCCGCCCGGGGCTGTAGGGCAAGCGAAGGTATTTGGAGAATGCTCCAGGGTGGCCAGGAATGTCCCTGCCCTCCCCAGTCCCCAGCCCGTGCTCAGCTGTAGTTCAGGACGTCTGCAGCTTGGACAGCGGCTGACACCGTGCCCCGTGGACCGAGCGCCAGGGTGGGCACACCCAGCCCCGGCGTGGACTTCAGGGCCCAGCATCCTGGGGAATAACCACGTCCTCTCCTCCCTTCCCTCTCAGGCCATTCCCCTGCGGCACCGCCGGACCCCTGACAGGTATGTGTGCTGCCCTCCCCTCTGCCAGATTGTGCCCTGCCTTCCTGGCCAAGCTTGCCACAGCTGCTTCCTCCAGGCAGGCTGCCCTGACTGGCCTCTGTCCAGGGGGCAGCTGCGTAAGGACCAGCCCAGGACCTCTGTGTACTTCGCCGTGGCTCGAGTCTCGGCGTTTCTAGGACCCAGAATTTCCCAGTCCCTGGCTCTTCAGGATGGCCATGAGCGGGCACATGTCCTGTGCCCACCCTGTGGCGGGGTTGGTGGGAGGGAAGGAGAATGTTCTCGTCTCGATGCCTGTCCTGTGGGTGCAGCAGACGAGGCCGCAGGCTGGCGCTGGGGCTCTGCCAGCTGGGCCATGCTGGGTGATGCTGGGTCTTCACTTGCCCTCTCTGGGCCTCGATGGGACCCACCCACCGCTTCACCATCCTGCACAAGGCTCCAGGATGCCTGTCAGGGACCTGGCGACCTCACCGTGGTTATTGTCCACACCTTGCCTCTGGGCTAGCGGACGCGGGGTCCCTGGGTGATGCGGTTGGGGGTGTCCCATTCCAGGATCGCGTCTCCCAAGGGGCGGTCGGAGGACGACTCCTACGATGACGAGATGCTGTCGGCCATCGAGGGGCTCAGCTCTACGAGGTGAGACCCCTGAGACCTCTGCCCCACCCTACAATGGGGATCCCCCAAATGGGCAGGCCCGCCGTGGGCCCAGATGGCTCTTCCCCTGCCCGACGCTGCCCCTGTTTCCGCTGCCGCCCCCACCCCAGGCCCTGCTGCTCCAGGTCTGACGACTTCCACGCCTTCGGCTCCATCTTCCTGGAGAAGGGCTTCGAGCGAGAGGTGAGGGCTCCTGGGCCGCCGCCAGCCCCGAGGAGCGTGGGGTCCGTGGGCGTGAGGGAGGGAGGTTCATGGGAGGTCTCTGCAGCTGCTCCTGGGGCAGGTGGCTCCCGGGTTGGTGCTGGCCTGGCTCTCCCGCGGGCCGCCACCTCCGCCCGAAACGCCCCCGGTAGAGATTTGCCCATGTGGGTCTGGGAGGCTTCCGCTCCGTCGAGTGGCTGAGCCTCGGCTGCGGCCGTGCCGGGCCCAGACCGACTGCCTCGGCCTCCCCGCGAGACGAGAACCCACAACTCGGTCCGTGTCGTGGCACCTCACGCTCTCCCGTCTGGCTGCCACGACAACCAGCTTTCTGTGCCAGTTGTGACCGTTTCTTTATTGGGTGCCTTCTGGGTTCTGGCAGTGTCCCAGGCACACGTGTGTGTCATTTAACCCTCACGTGGTTGGCCAGGTGGGCGCTGCTCCCCCACTTCCCACAAAGGACACGGCGGCTCTTGGGCTTCGGAGCCCGTCCTCAGCCTCGGGTGTGGCTCCAGTGCTGGGACCCCTCTCCCTCCTTAGCCAGAGGCAATGGCGGCCAGTGTCCAGGACTTGGGGGGCTTCCTCTTGCTGGGGCTCCCTGAGTTGGGGGCTCCCCACGTGAGGAGGTCACCAGGACACCAGCCTGGCGGGCTTTGTGCTGGCCGAGTGACGGGCGGGCTGCGTGGCCGAGGCCCCTGCAGTAGGAGCGCCTGTGTGGGGGCGTCGGGGGGCAGCACGGGCCCAGCCTCCCTCCTCACTGGGGCGAGGACAGTCCTGGGAGCTCACACTTGGTTCCCGTCTGTGGACTTGGGGCCAGGAGCGTCGCGGGGACTTGGGAAATAGTCACAGACTTGGGGAGGCACAGGGGAGGGGAAGGAATTGCCTCCAAATACGAAGGAGAAGCTGCAAAGTGGAAGCGAAGGAAAGTTACTAAATGTGACATCACCTGGAACACGAGGGGTCTGAGCTGTTTTTTTGAGTTTTTTCTGAGCTGATTAACTTGAGCTGGGGCAGTGGCCTGCAGGTGGCGCCTCATGGCCCCTGTCGCCCCTAGTACCGCCTGGCGCCCATCCCCCGGGCCCGCCACGACTTCGCCTGTGCCGGCCTTGTGTTCGTCTGCATCCTGCTCGTCCACCTCTTGCTGATGCCCAGGTCAGTTGGGAGGGGAGGAGGCTCGAGACCACTGTGGTCCTGGCCGGGAGGGGCGGTGGCCCTGGTGGGACCCACCAGAGCCCCTGCAAGGAGCTGCGTGACTGGGCTGGGGGTGCTGCCTGGCTTAAGGTCCCTGCCGCAGGGCCAGGGGTGTGCTGCGCGCCTGGGGTCGCCGATGCTGCTTTTTAATGGAATGTGCTTGCTGCGCCCCAGGCTCCCCCACCCCAATGCCTCTCACTTTCTCAGTCACCAGCTGTGTGGCCTGTTGGCATTTCAGTTGGTGACCCTCGCCTTAGGTTTGGGAGTCCTAGAAGGGTAACCTCTGAAAACCGTGGACAGCGTCACCTCCCTTTTATGTGTGGGGACCTTGAGCTCGGAGGGTTAATGGTTTGTCCAGGGTGGCACAGCCTGGAGCAGGAGTCCCTGAGACTCGCCTCTGGCTCCTGGCCCTGTTGGTGGGGGACAGGGCTGGGGGCCAAGGTCAGCCACGTGGTGGTTTCTAGAAGGGCAGTTAGGCCAAAGGGTCGACCAAGATTCTGGTTTTGGCTGTGCTTAGTAACGACAAAGCAGGGAAGACTTGAGTATAATTTTTACCCGCCAGATATGGGTCTAAAGGCTGCGCAGGTGTGACACGTTTCTTACGTACTTGGCCCCAAAGGGGAGACATGATGTTGACCTTGATCTCCATGTTGGACCACAGTCCTCATTCTCAAAGGCCCCCTTTGCTGTGGGCAGCATGGCAGGTGGGGAGGGGACAGGTGGCTGTGAGCCGGACCATTGGGGTGGTGGGAGGGGTCCAGGGGTCCCGGGAAGATGACCCGCCAGAACTTGGGTTTTTTCCTCTTCTCCAGGACAGCGGCTCTGGGTGTGTCCTTTGGGCTGGTGGCCTGCGTGCTGGGGCTGGTGCTGGGCCTGTGCTTTGCCAGTGAGCCCTCGGTGAGTGGGTGGCCCTGCCCCGTGTCCCTGTCTCCCTGGCGAGCCCCTGGCTCTGGTCAGGGGCCGGGCGCTCACCTGCCTGCCTTGGGGACAGTTTGCTGAGTGCCCTGGAGGCTTCTCCTGAGGGCCCTGCCTCCCCCGGCCGCCTCGTCCCGGCTGCTGGCTTTGGATGACCCAACCCCGTTACTCCACAGAGGTGCCGCCCAGCCCGGGGGCCGCTCCGGACCATCTCCGAGCGGGTGGAGACGCAGCCCCTGCTGAGGCTGTCCCTGGCCGTCCTGACCATCGGTGGCGTGCTCACCGTTGCCATCATCAACCTGGTCGGTCCTGCCCCCGCCGCCCGCCTCCTGGGTGGGGGAGACAGTCTGGCCCTGGGGGTCTCCAGAGTCCGGAATGCCGTGTTGCCTTGAGTGCTGCTCTTGTAGTGTGGCGGGTGCCCCGAGGGCCCCCTGCAGGCCGGGGCTCCTTACCCTTTGGCTTGCGTGTGAGGACTGTGGGCGCCTGGAGAGCGTGAGTGGCCAGCCCTGTCTTTAGCCTCCACGGCGTCCTGATGTCCCGTTCCTCCTTCAGGGCCCCGAAGAGGTCCCAGCTGCCCCTCTGAGACTCAGTCTCCTCCTCCGGCCCGTGCTGGCGTGCTCCCTGCTGCAGAAAGCAGCCTGCAGGAGCGTGTATGCCCTGTCCCCACCGGCTCCTGCCCCCGGGACTCTCCAGAGCTGCGGGGTGTGGAGAGGGCGCCTGTGACCACAGCCCTCAGGGTCACCGGGGGAGAAGGGGCCCCACCCCCTGGCTTGCGGCAGCCTCTGATGCCCTGGGGCGCGTCCGCCCAGTGGCGGTTTTCGCGGTTCTGTCCTGCCGTGGGAGGCCGGCACAGCTGCTCAGGGCCGTGCTCAGAGCTGAGCCTGGCAGGAAACGTCAGGCCCGCCTCACTCCGTGTCCCTGTGCCCTGGACCACCCTAACGGGGGCCTGTCTCCTCTGTAGCCACTGACGCCTTTCCCCGCGCTGGAGATGCCGGATGGCAACGCGACGGGCCTGCAGGACGTGCGCGGTGGGGAGAGGACCCTGTGCGTGCGCCTCCTCCCGGTGAGTGTGGCCGCGGCTCCGAGCAGCCCCGGGGCCTGGCCCACCCCTGGGCGCTGTGGCTCCTCACCTGACTGCTCCTGCCAGGGGGTGCAGCTGAGCTGAAGCCCCCGATCCTGAGCCCGAGACCACCGGGTGTGCGGGAGCTGAGTGCAGCCCCTCCTGGGAGGGGGCAGAGAGCAGGCCCGGCCAGGCCGAGCCGAGCCCTGGTCCCGGGAACGGGGTCTGGGTCTTGGTGTGGGTGGCCTAAGCTGTGTGGGGTGCGCAGGGACAGGGATGAGCCTCCGCTGTGCTGGTGGGTGTCTCCCGCTCACTTCTCTGGCAGGCACCTCGTGACTCCACTTTACCCACGAGTAAGTGGGGCCCAGGGAGGTTCGCCAGTTGGCCTCGTAGGTGAAGCCAGCACCGGGCCCCGGGCAGGCTGACCAGGAAGTCCAGGCCTGGCGAGGCCTCGCGGATGAGCACGATGAGGCTCTGGGACTAAAGGGGGCAGCGGTGCATGGAGCTGGAGTCTAAAGGGCAGAAAGGTTCTGAGACGGGACAGGACAGTGTGAGCAGAAGCTGAGGTGTACGGTGGGAACAGTGGGTTTCGGGTGGTTTGTGTCATGGGCAGGGCGTGGCGGGGGGGAAAGGGGAGATGAAGCCAGAGAGGCAGGTGTGCCCTGGATCAGGAAGCAGCGGGAATGCCAGGGGGACGAATGTGGCCTTTATTCTGGGGGCAGTGGGGAGCCACAGCATGGTCTTGAGCAGGAGAGATGCACTTGGGCTGGGGTGGCTTGCGGCAGAACTCGGGAGACCGGCTATGCAGGAGGCGGTGCCTTGACCTCGGTCATGTCCACTGCACCTGTACTCTTACTTCCGGAAGAGGTACAACCACAGGACAAACAACGTAATGCTGGAACTTAGATTTCACTGCCTGCTCTTTGTCCAAGCGGAGGTCAGCAAGGCGAGAGCACGATGCTGAGACCGGGCTCAGGGCGGAAAGGGACTCAGCGTGGGTGGGTTAGTGCTGACGCACGCGGCGTGCCTCTTGGTGACAGGAGATGGTGGGGTGCCCTTTGCCAACCTGGTAACATCCCCCTCTCGCCAGTATTATGCCTGCAGCTGCGTCCTGGGCTTCATCGCCTGCTCCGTCTTCCTGCGGATGAGCCTGGAGCTGAAGGTTGTGCTGCTGACCGTGGCCCTGGTGGCCTACCTGGCGCTCTTCAACCTGTCCCCGTGCTGGCAGCAGCACTGCTGTGGCCATGTCCTGGGCAACCTCACCACCAGCACCGACACTCTCAGGTGGGGCCCCAGGCAGCTCGCTGCCAGGACCTGGGCCCACCGCCCGCCTCCCCCATGGCCCGCTCTGTTCCGGTGCCTGCTCAGACTGGGTGCTTTTGTGCACAGTCCCCAGGGACCGCGCACCTGGTGGCGGGGTGGGCAGATGGCATGGTTTCCATTTCACAGCAGGGACAGTGACTTGGCCAGGTCCTGTGTCTGCAGCGTGCAGAGCTGAGGAAGGTAGCTCGTTTGCAGGTTCTTCGGGAAGTTCCTGGTCTGACAGGCCAGTCCGGGGTGGACGAGGGAGACCTCAGCTCTAGCTCAGCACCTCTCTTTGGGCCGTGTCCTGGGCCTCCAGTTTTGAACAGAGCGATTGCTCTGGTCTCTTCCTGCCCAGGTGGTGACACCTGAGGCACAGGAAGGCTGGCGTGTGTGGTTCTGGGGGCCCTGGGCCCCACGTGGGTGGAGGAGAGGGCCTGGCGGCCCTGGAACTGAAGGCCGGAAGCCCGGGGACCCGGAACAGAGCACGCTGCTCTGGGTCTGGCTCGCACCTGCGCGGTCCTCATGCTGACCTCCGAGTCCCCCGCCTTGTGGGGCGCACCAGGAGCAGCTCTTGGCTGCCTTGCCTGGGCTGACTGTCATTCAGGGGGAGCTCAGTGGTCCCCCTGCGAGGGCTGCCCCACCTCCCCAGCCCTCCCCCTTTCCTTTACGCCCTGAAGTTGTCTTGCCTTCCGCCCCTTGTTAGAACGTGTTTCCACCTCTGCGGCGGGTGTGGTCTTCCGGTGGGAGCGTGATGGGAACGGCGGGTGGGGTCGGTCCACCCTCCTCTCACATCCAGCATTGTCCCCAGGGGTTCCTGGAGGGATCTGAAGACCATGATCAATTTCTACCTGGTCCTGTTCTATGCCACCCTCCTCATGCTCTCCAGACAGGTACGGACGAGAACGCCCTGCGCCCCCGCTGGCCCTGGCGAGGGAACAGCGCGGCTGGGCTGAGCGGGGCAGCAGGGAGGCAGCAGAGTCCTGCCGGAAAGTTCTGGGCCCCTGGTCAGGGTCCTCGCCTCCCCCCAGGACACAAGGGACAGGCCGACCTGACTGGGAGATGTACACTGGCCACGGGCACAGGCTGGCCTGGCAGCCTTGAGGGTCACAGCTGTGCCCTGCCAGCCCCAGTCCTGCCTCTGCTCCCCCGCGGACAGGACGCTGACGCTTCCTGCTGTTGCAGATTGACTATTACTGCCGCTTGGACTGTCTGTGGAAGAAGAAGTTCAAGAAGGAGCACGAGGAGTTTGAAACCATGGAGAATGTGAACCGCCTTCTTCTGGAGAACGTCCTGCCAGCCCACGTGGCGGCTCACTTCATTGGTGACAAGTTAAATGAGGTGCGGTGGGAAGAGGGGGCTCAGCACGGGTGGGGAGGCCGAGGGTACGGGTGCAGCCCCACGGGGTGCAGGCGCAGAGCTACGAAGTGCATCCCCCGGGATTAGCTGTGAGAACGTTGGTGTGGGGTCCGGGACCTGGCTCCACTGTGATGGTGGACAAGACACCTCACTTCCCTGGGCCTCGATCTTCCCCTCTGTGAAATGGGCTGACAGTACTCACCTTGAAGGATTGTCACGAGGACCACATGTGTGTTCAGGTGTTTGTAATCTGGACGTTCTGTATTGAAGACAATGTCTGTATTTCTACCAGTTCCATGTAGCAGGGAGTTTTCTAGATAAGGAAACTAAGGACCAGTGACTTGCTCCCCAGGGGTTCTCCCCGAGCTGTGCACAGAAACACCCACGGTGCTCAGAAGAGCAGAAAACCAACCCGAGCCTGCCCCCCCACAAGCAGCCGATTCACAATCGCCCCATGTTCTAACAGCCCTGGGGACTCGTGCACGGCCAGGGCTGGCACGGCTTGGCTGGGCAGCTCAGCACCCTCCCCTCCTGGAGCCTCCTTACTCTGCCTCTCTGTCCCCGCAAGAGCCAAGGTGGCCATAAGGTCCCGTTTCCTCCCGCCTGAATCCAGGACTGGTACCATCAGTCCTACGACTGCGTCTGTGTCATGTTCGCCTCGGTGCCGGATTTCAAAGTGTTCTACACGGAGTGCGACGTCAACAAGGAAGGGCTGGAGTGCCTGCGCCTGCTCAACGAGATCATCGCCGACTTCGACGAGGTACGGGCGGCGCCGCCAGCTCACCCTTGCTGGGGTGGGCGCGTGGCGCCCGGTGTCCTAAACCCCAGTTAGAAAATGCGACACGGCTCCCTTGGGGGGAACATACACAGAGCATAACAGGCACACGTTTGTCCTTTTCATTTCATTTTATTCAGCAAACATTTTGCTGACATCTCTTCTGTGACGGGCAGCTTGTGCCCTTGTAGAACAGTTTGATTTCCAGCTGCGCCCACGCCGTCAACTTGCTCCGGAGCCTGTCAGTTTGGGCCTAGCTCTGTGCTGGAGACAAGTGATCCACATTTGTGTGTGGATAACGCTGAGCTGCGTGTTTGCTCCTTAGCAAGGCCGAGAGCGCACAGGCTGGGACAGGGGAAAGGCAGTGTTGGGGAGATGCAGATGACAGGAGCAGGGGCCGAGGCCACGTCCCCACTTGCCCTTAGCTGTGAGCACAGACGGAAGGGCCGCTGCCCGTGAGCCCCCCACGCCCTTCCCGAGAAGCTGGGACAGGCCTGGGCTGCACTGTGGAGCGGCGGCCCCGCTTCACTGCTGCCCTCCCGCAGCTGCTGCTCAAGCCCAAGTTCAGCGGTGTGGAGAAGATCAAGACCATCGGCAGCACGTACATGGCAGCTGCAGGGCTCAGCGTCACCCCAGGGCACGAGAACCAGGTACGAGAGCCCCACGGGGGGAAATTCAACACAGTCCCCGGACCTATCACCTTACTTAAAGGGGGAGTCTCCTTGTCCTGTCCGGGAAGGGCAAAGGCGCTTGTATGGCTGAGCCCGGAGAGTTCTGGTAGCGGGCGATGCGCCCCTGTGGAGGAGCCCCTGGCACACCTCTGCCACCGAAAGCCCCTCCCAAGAAATCCACAAGGATAGCGGCACACCCGCCAGGTCGGGGGCCGTGAGGAGCTGACACACACCCGGCCGAGGGGGCGGACGGGGTCAGCTCTCGCACGGCCCCTGCACGCGGCGCTCTGTGCCGCAGGACCTGGAGCGGCAGCACGCCCACATCGGCGTCATGGTGGAGTTCAGCATCGCCCTCATGAGCAAGCTGGACGGCATCAACAGGCACTCCTTCAACTCCTTCCGCCTCCGCGTCGGTGAGGCCCCGGGCAGGCGGTGGCGGGGCCGGGGTGCAGGAGGGGGCGGGGGCGTGGGCAGCAAAGCCCCTGCCTCCAGGCAGGCCCACTCTGTGTGGTGAGGCTGTACTTGGCCATCTACTAGGAAGTTTTAGAAACCGCTCTGACCTGACAGGCCCAGTGGCTGGATTGGGTAATTATTCAGACCTTCTTTGTATACTGCTTACACGGTTACCTTTGAAAGTTCTAGTAAATAAGAACTATCACTACAGAACACGGAGAACCAAAATTACCAACTGAAAGTAGGTGACCTTAACATACAGAGAATAGAGAGTTATAAAATCTAAGTAGTCACTGTTAGCCCGAAGGGTCTGTGCTCAAAGCCTAGGTGTTCTTTATTGAAGGTATTAGAAGTGAGATTAGCGGGTACTAGGTTAAGTGTCACCATCAAATCCAGATTTCCTGAGTCCTGGAGAGCCTGCCAGGGAGCGCCTTTCCCACATCCCAAGCATAATCCACGGGGCAGACTTCTGGAAGCTGTCCCACCCCAACCTTCATTTCAGTTGTTTGGTTCCTGCTTTCTGTGCTTAGGGGGTAAATTTTGTGGCCTCCCCTCAAGGACAGAAGCCTGAGGCTTTGCCTCTTTCATCAGCCAACTGTAAACATTGTCTTCAGGCATAAACCACGGGCCTGTGATTGCTGGAGTGATCGGGGCTCGAAAGCCTCAGTATGACATCTGGGGAAATACGGTCAATGTGGCCAGCAGAATGGAAAGCACTGGAGAACTTGGGAAAATCCAGGTGAGAGCCCATTGGGGAAGCACGTGACCAAGAGGGAAGAATGTCCCTAGAGGGGAGGGGACCTGGGCTTGAGACCTGCCTCAGCCACCAGCCAGCCTGTGATTTGAGCTGTCACATTTCCTGAGAAAGGAGACACGCATGCTGATCCCTGCCAGCTTCTGCCCGTCCCTTCCCCAACAGCTCTCCCTCCTGCCTCTGAAGACTTAGGTTTCTTTTCCTTTTCAGGTTACTGAAGAGACATGCACTGTCCTCCAGGGCCTAGGTTATTCCTGTGAATGTCGTGGGCTAATTAATGTTAAAGGGAAAGGCGAACTAAGGACTTACTTTGTCTGTACAGACACTGCCAAGTTTCAAGGGTTGGGGCTGAACTGAGGGCTTCTGCTGGATTCAGAACACGCCGGGAAGCCAGTTTCCTTCCCTGAAGCAAGCCAAGAAGACTCAGCGCCACACCAGTCACAAAGGCACTCAAAGGGCTTGGCCATCACCATGTCCTGGCAGATGGCTGTGCGTGGCTTCTTGGGATTTGTGCTAGAGGATTTCTTGGACAAGTGCACCAGATCCGGCTTGAGGCAACTTCTGAGCCGTAACACACGGCGGCAGCCAGAACCTCTGTGCTGTTGGTCAGTAACGGTTTCCGGGTCAGCTGGAAAGGGATCACTGGTACAACCACTGTACTTGTGACCGTGAGACCTCGTTCCCTGAGGTTCTGTGGAGGCGATCTTAGAGCATCACCCAAACAGATGTCCGTCTCGGTGGCCTGTGAGCATGCGCAAGTGAGACCGACGCTTTCTAGCTACAGAGTGGACGAAGATGCTAGCTTCTCCCTAGTGAGACTGGCTATGGGGTTGTTTCTCTCACACTGGCATCCTGGTGAATGGAATTGGACAGTGTTTTATATCTGTAAATGGTTTCAAACAGTAGAGAGAAAAAATTAGCATTGCTTCTTGCCATCTCTGGCATGTGTTTGTTTTAAATGGACACAAATTATTAGTGGGGGTTTCATCCTTTCTAATGACTTCGCAGACACCAGATAAAATCTCTTCCCTCCAGCATAGTCTCTGCCGTTTTGACCACTGACACGTAAGCAGGACCACTGTCCAGTGTCGGTGTATGGCACGGGCCGGGCTGTGAGGAACGTGGCTCACAGCGAGAAAGCAAGGAGCGGTGCGGCCTTAGCTCTGAATTACGCAACTTTGGTGCAAGCACTCTGGGGTTAGCTGCAGTAAGCTGAAAGCCTAGAAATATGGTTCAACCTTTTAGCTCTGCCCTGACTGCTCCTGCGTTTCTGGGCTCCCCCTGTAATCTTCCAACTATAGCATCTTTTTTTTTACTAAAAAGGAATGGAGTGTATAGAGAGAACGTGGACAACCTGTCAGTACTTCTTTCCTTTCCTTTGGTCTTCATAGCTAACTCTGGAGAGCTTCAAAAGTAGAAGGATCTACTCAGTACAGGCGTGTGTAGAGGTTCCCGTATCTGGGAAGCCAGCCGTCTGGCAAATGCTGAGATGTTCTTGTTCTGAACCTGAGTGAGTCGAGGCAGATGCAAAAAGCCAGGTTTGTGAGATGGTGTTATTACTATGCTTCGGACTCCCAGGGAACTGACAGAAGCCAACCTGTTTCAAGGTGCGAAATAACCAAACTGCCCTTTCTTTTTCTGAACTGACTTCATAACCAGAAGTTATAACCAGTGGCCTCATAGCCAGAGCGTCCCCAGAATTTCTAATACAACTGAACTGTCCTACATAGCAGGGATTCTCAGCCAGACGTCATCCACGAAGTTACACAGAAGATCCTGCACAGAGGCTTCGACAGATCACACAGGCTTGCAGGCAGGGCGACTGAGTGGCCTTGCTTGCCTGGGACTTGGGCGGTCCTGAGAGGAGTTGTCCCCTATTTGCAGAGTAGAGTTACGGATAGCCAAGTGGGGAGGGAACTGAAATTGAAACCACCTATGCTGTGTCATCTTGTGGGGCTTTACTGGCCCGGGGGAGGAGGGATGGGTTTATTCTAATTTGCACAAAGTAATAGATGCACTAGTGGCAGCTCTGATGTGTTGCACGTAATTGCAATCAGTATGAATACATTATAAGAACTCACTGTTTAAAGGAATTTTATGGCAAAAACGCTGCTAAGGGAAATAAGCCTAGCTTAAATTGCCCTTTTTTACACACCTCTTCACGTAGAGGGCTGGTTTCAGTTAAGTGCTCTACTGAAATCTGTGCTCTCCAAATCTAGCAGTGACCAAGGCTGCCCAGCGGGGGCTCTCCGGAGAGTCAGGCTGGGTTCTGTTGCTGATATAAACACAGAAACAGGTCAATGCCCTGGGCCTCTCTGAGGTTGAAATATTTCTATTCATGCAGTATTTAAGTTACCTTTTTTCTTCAGTAACAGAAAGCCCAGTTAGGAGTTTTAAAAAAACGATTGGTTACCATTCATGTGTTTTTCTCTATTTCCAACTAAAGCACTGTGCTCAGATAAGAATATTTTGTAAGTTTTTAGTTTTCAATGTTCAGGTCATAGAGTATAAAAGACCATAATAATCACTTGTAGTTTTTTTTATAAATCTGTTTTCAAATTACCAAGTAATTTCTTCACAGGTGTCATCTTTTTTTTTATGACAGAAACAAGTATTTTTTCTAAAAATGACCTTCTCTATGGATCAAGGACTTACCATTTCTCCTAAGGTGGCCTCACCCTGACTAGCAAATATAATACCTGAAGTTTCCTGGTTTACTTATTAAGGAAATTTCCTAACAGAAAAGAAGATCATTAACCACTGTACACCTGACGTATGTAACAGGTCAGCGTACAGAAATACGCTTTGAGACGGAACATGCAAATAACTAGGGTTTATTCTGTATACTGAATATGAGGAGATCTGTGACATTTGTTTCAAAAGCTATGATCCATTTTTATAAAGTACCAGTGTTTAGCTGCCTTTTATACATTAAATTAACAATTTGGAAAACCTGAATGTCCTAAAGGCGTTTTGAATTTAAATATTTTCTTGGTCTTCAGGAATTTACCCAAGTAGATCCAAAGTTTAAGAATCGGTTACCACCTAAATTATATTTTAGAGATTAAAAAACTTGATAAAAACATGCTTCAACTCATTTTTTGATTCTTTTAGTGTAAGTTTTTAAAGGATTAGGCCATCTTTAAATCTCTTGAGACAATCAATACTCCTTCACCCTACTTATTCTTGCTAAATATTTTCAAAGTCAAGAAAATAAAAATAAAATGGCTTCCTGCCGGGGGGGAGGTCACACGAGGACGCTATATAAATTTTTTCACTGAACTAGGCTATATCCATCCTGAATTTTTCCCCTTGCTTTTAATTTTAAAACAGGTTATACACTGAACCAGATTCAGAAGTTACCATTCGTCTCAGTACAGTGACTGGTGACTGACAGAAGGGGACACGTCTCATGGACTCCTACTTAATTAAACTTGGGCACTTGACCTTTGTATTTCAGATAAACAGTGGACAGAAACATAGATTTTCATTTAAGCTCAGTAATTCCCTGATATATTCAAGGATGATCTGGTTTATCTTATTTGGCTTAGCCCTTTGCTATAGTTCCAAATAACTCTTTAAAAAAATGGAAAAAAACAAAAGAACACCAGACATGTTATAGTGCTATAAAACTCCTCGTTTTGCTTTTTGGACAGGGTCTTGAAGGGAACCTAATTATCCTACACAAGACCATCATTCCCATTAGGTATGCAGGGGGCAGGACCAAACTACTAAACTCTGAAGTTATCTTTAGCATGTTTGTAAAAATGAGAAATCTCACTGGAAGGGACCATTTTTAAAGTTTCTTAGTCATGGTCCTATCTGTGAGGAGGTAAGGAAGCAGCACTAGGCACTATTTGGAAAGAATGCTGCCCGGGTATGGCGACAGCCGTATTTCTTCTTCACAAGGGCCACTTTCTGAATAAATTATCAAGAGGAGAACTGGTAAGTTTGGAACTATTTGGTTATAATCTTTCTTTTTTTTTTTTTTTTTGAGACAGAGTCTTACTCTGTTGCCGGGGCTAGAGTGCCGTGGCATCAGCCTAGCCCACAGCAACCTCAAACTCCTGGGCTCAAGCGATCCTCCTGCCTCAGCCTCCCGAGTAGCTGGGACTACAGGCATGCGCCACCATGCCCAGCTAATTTTTTTTTCTATATATTTTTAGTTGTCCGATTAATTTCTTTCTATTTTAGTAGAGACGGGGTCTCGCTCTTGCTCAGGCTGGTTATAATTTCTTTAATGGGGAGTATGGCAAACGTGAACAGTGAGCGATTTTAATTATTTTGGGGATTTGCTTCTTTGCGTGGGTGAGGGTGAGAAAGGCCGTTCGTTCCCTGAGCTGCTCTGTCACTCATCCTCAGACGTAGCCCCGGGGAAAGGTCAGGGATAACTCGGTCAGGATGCACAATACTCCTCTCAGAGTCCCAGGTTCAGCTTTATTACCTAATATAAGTCCAATCTCTGGAACATTAAAACTGACTGTTCCAAAGTTTAATTAAAAACACAATTTACAAATATTTAATATCTTCTGAAAAGCATTTCCAAGTTAAGAATGGAAAAATATGTACATAATATATAATCAAATACCATTTGGCCTTAAATCCCATCAGGTCCACACTCGGCAACATCAGTCTTTTTAGGTTCTTCAAAATCTGCAAGAGAAAGACACCACACTTCATTCAGCACTCTTTCCCTTTTAATTAGAAAAAGGCAGTGAGGGGAGGCTACCAGGCAGAAGAGGAACTGCTGACAGCAGTCCTTCACCACGTCCAAGGTGGAAGACGAGGTGCACTAGCAAGTCATCACTGTAGCTTTCTGGCAACTGTGTGAAATCTTTATTTTTTGGACAAGACAGAAAGAAAACCAATAGTTTTATATACCAAGAACAGAGATAAAATCTTTCAAATGTTATGTGAAGGAAGAGGACTGATGTTCCTTTTACAGTCAGCCCTCTGTATCTGAGGGTTCCACGTCCGCAGATTCAACTAACTGTTGACAGAACATATTAGGGAAAAAACCCAATAAAGAACAACACAACTAAAAATGATACAAATAAAAAAATACGGTATAACAACTATTCTCAAAGCGTTTACATTGCACAAGTAATCTACAGACGAATTAAAGTATACAGGAGGATGTGCGTAGGTTGTATGCCATTTAATATCAGGGACTTGAGTATCCACACATTTTGGTATCCTCGTGGGTCTTAGAACCAATCCCCAGCAGATACCGAGGGACGACTGTACTCATTCATCCCAGAGAACAAGGGCACGTACCTTCTGTTAAATCTACAAAGCTGTTTTCTACGACGGGGGAAGGAATGGAAATCCCCATTGCTTTTCGAACTCCATACATGCTTACGATATCACCTGGAGTTACTTGCTGCGCAAGTTCTTTAAGATTATTGGTCACTTGTTCAGCTAAAAAGAAAAATATTTCCACTTATTGAAACGTCATTCCTTTAGATAATTTTTAAAAAATCCAAAAGAACAGCAAACATATAGATGCAAAAACCACAGTATTCACTTCAGCATTTCTTTACAGTGGTATCACTACTGTACTCAGAAGATTTTTCCTTTAAGCATCCCCTGATTCTTCTCTTACTGGAGTTGCAACATACCGAGATGCACTTCTCTATATGAGGGACCCAAGAGACAGATCATATTGGGAGGGGGTCTGGTGCTCAAACGCTCATTCTGGGCATCCTGGAGCTCCCTGAGCAATTTGGTGGTCTCGTCAAGTTTCTTCTGGAACATTTCAGCTTCTGGGTGGTAAGAGAGAGAACACACTAAAGAAAACATGGACATACCTGTGTTTGACCTTGTGTGGTAAACAAAGTCCTGTGCTTGAGGGCTTTGCTAATTATTGGTTAGCCTTCTCCCTCCAAAGAAGTAACCCCCCTCAAGCAAAATCAACACCACAGCCATGCTTTACTATTCATTTAGCTTGGCTAGCCAAGATTTTCCCGTGGTGAATGGCATGCTAATCTGAACTGATGTGACATCAAATCTCGACTGCCTGTGTTATGCAGTGTTTCCGCCAAAGCCTCCGGAAGTACTCACCTTCAGAGTCAAAAACCTCGACTGGAGCACC